AGCCCTCACTGCCAGTGCCTTTAATACCCGTATTTCTACCAACAGTCTGCTCACGATAACTGAGGTATTTTCTAAAGTGACTTAGGTTTTCTCTACCATGCTTTTCATTTTCTTCTGAGTCTTCACTAGTAGAACTGCCAATATCCTTATTTCTACTTACAGTCTATTCAAAGCAGTCTAGGCTTTGTCTATCATGTTCCTCAAAATGTACCAGCCTATGCCTGTTGCCCAATTGCAAAGCCACTGCCACATTTTTAGGTATTTCTTACCTAAGTGGGCAGCCCCCACTTCTATATATCAGAATTTGTGTTAGTTCCTATTGCTGCCTTACCAAATCACCACAAACTTAGTGGTTTAAATCAACACAGCACATTATCTCATGGGGGTCCAAGCTGAGTCTTGCTGGGTGAAAATCAGGGTGTCCACAGTGCCCCGTTTCTTCTGGGCACCCCCAGAGTCAATCCATTTCCTTGACCTTCCCACCTCTCAAGCCCGCCCGCAGTCCCTGGCGCATGGCCCACTCTCACCTTCAGAGCCACAAAGGGAGGTCTGGTCCCTCTCATTGCGTCACTGTGACACCCACTCTTTCATCTCCCTCTTCCAGAGGTAAAGGACCTTTGTAATTACATGGGGCCACCCAGATAATCCAGGATAGTTTCCTTGTTATAAGGTCAGCTGATCGGCAACCTCAGTTTTCTGTACAGCATTACTTCCCCATCGAGATGTAACATAACATTCTCAGGTTCCTGAGATTAGGACGTGAACAGTTTCGATCGACCACTATTCTGCCCTCCACATAAATCTTTGTATAATGATAACTTCTCAGTTCTTCTGTATTGATATGGCCCAGCAGGTTACCTGGTCCTCCTTTGTGCATGTGCTTCACCTCACATCACAATCCTCACGTTCCCACTTCGCTGATCTCTTCCACTTTCTCAAACACACGCGCTCATGGAGGCTCGGGATCTCTGCCCTGCCGCCCCCCTGCCCGCTGCTCCTCCTCCCCGAGTCCCCATAGCCCCTCCCCTCCAGGCTCCTCTTGCTAGTCCTTCAGCTGTCACCTCAAGTGACTCTTCTTCAAAGACTTTTTCTTACCTTGAGACCCCCTAAACTAGATTCCCACTGCCCTCTGAGTTTTTCTTCATCTCATTTATCTTAACAGGAATTAAATTATTATCTGTGTAATTGTTTTTAATGACTATTTTTAAGGCACTATGAAAGTAAAGTTCTAACCATCATTTGTTATGTACCTAACACCTAGCAGAATATAACTGCAAAACAAAAATCTGAGTGAGTAAACAGGTCTCCTCTAATCCTCATAATAACATTAATTTTATAATTGAGGGTACTGGAACTCAGAGAAATTAAGTAGCTTCATCATAGTAAGACAGCTAATGAGATTCTATGGGGGTCTACCTGGTTCCTAAGCCCATCTCCTTGCCACTGTGTTACCCTATTCTACTGGGGCACCGATGGCTGTGCCCCTAGTCCGTGGATGCTCACTGCCCATCATACTGACGACACTCGCTGCCCCCTCACTTGCCTAGTGCAGTTACCTTTGCCTACTGAAGTCAATGGTCCTCCACCAAATGACCAATTTCATTCCGATTTTCAAATACTGGCATAACAATAGACTTGTGAATATTTTTTCCCTTTAAAATCTTGAAGTTCTTTGAACATAATCACTAAATTTATTTCAAATTGCCAACTCAGGAAAAAGAAATATGCTTTTAGATTATCTACTCTTGTGGGGATTAATAACTTTATAAAATCTATGAACTCTCAGAAGAAATTTTTTTAAACCAACAGGTGAAACTATCTACTTCGGCCAAACCGTTAAAACCAAAGATCCAAAAATGATGCTAATGTTGTTGGAAAGCCCTACAACTGTGCTTCCGTATACTCTTATTCTTGGTCTCTCAGATACAGAGGAAAACAAAATTATGGCCATTATCTTGAAGAATATTTCCTAGACTTTAGACAAGGCACACAGAATTCTATTTTTAACTGTACTAGTGCTAAAGAGTTCAGAACTCTTCACAACCTTCCACAGGTATTTTCATTGTCAGCATTCAGTTCTCTACTTCTGAAAAACATAAGTTCATTTTTGTTGCTGTGAGTCAGACTGTAGCTAGACTTAGAAGATCTTGATATAGATTCCAAACTCTTGCCTGGACACTTTTTTCTTTTGAAGATTACTATAATTCACACAGATCAAAGCCATATTTATGAAGGATGGCCTAATTTAACATCTCACTATTTCAATTTCTAAAGCAGCTATACATCAAATTTCAACAGCAAAACAATTTTAGTGAGTCTACGGTTGCTATTACGATAAAAATCAGGTATGATATATTTCCATGTGTTTTTATTCTACATTCATAAGAAATATTATAATTAATAGATTCATATTGCACAATAATTTACAAAAATTTGTTTCAAAAAGTACTGAATTATAAGCATCTTAAAGGCTACTGAAGAATGAAGTAGCCAAAAGGAGAAGCAATACTAAATGAGCAAAAATCATCAGGAAATCATATGTCGAGATGCTTTATTTTAAAGCTAAGAGACAGAAGAATATGCACAATATATTACTGCACAAAAAATTTATGATTCAAACTCTCTGCCATCTTACTAGAACATATCTGATAGCACAAAGCAATTTATCTGATAGGTTTATATGAATTCTGAGAGCATCTCACAGGTTTTGCAATTTGTTACTATTCCTGCTATGACATTTTACACACTATACAAAAATATCTGCAGAACCTTCAGTTCGCTATAAATTGAATCCACAAAATCTTCAGTCTGGAAGTTTTGTCTCTCTAAAACCCATGGAATCCCAGGGAAGCAGCAGGAGTCAGAACAGACTTCTTAACAAGTTTCCACATCCTAGAATCTGTAAGAGCAGAGGGAGACCTTTCCAAGGAAATGCAGAACTGCCGGGCAGGGCCTGAGGTTCACCTGTTGTCAGTTTTATAATCTTAAATCTTAGAATAAGAGGAAACATTAGAGCCTCAATACGGCAGTGATATCCGCCTAGTGACAACATACCAAGCTGCACATACCTGCTGGATGACTGGCTATATGAAATAAGGGTAATAACTGGCAGGAAACAAAATATCACATCTTCAAACCTCATAAACTGTTACCTATTAAGCACTGACTTTGCCCCAGTATTGGGCTTGACACTGAGTCACTGCTGTGGACAATTCACTGGCAACTCGAGGCTGTCTTAAACTGGCAATATAAACACAGATGAATACTGAATATCCCTTTTAGAAAATTAACCAGGAAAAGATACTGGAGCTTTGAGATTATTTCCTAGAAATTGTCTGCCAACAGAACATAAAATGCAGTCCTAAAGGTTTATATTTGTGATAGTTCAGACACTCTTCAGAGAAAGCTAAGAACAGTAATATAATTTAAAGGAACTTTGGAAATTTTAAGGGCATTCCAATGCCATTTGTTTATTAGGAGCTTTAGCTTTTGTAAACCTTGCCAGTTATTTAAATTAGCAGTCCTGAAATAACTTGGCTTCCAGTTCACAAGGACTAAATCAAAGATTTAAAAAAATAAGAAAAAATAAGAAAAAGGAAAAAACAGAAGCTGAACCCTAATGACACTTCTAGTCCCCTCTATGAATTTTGCTGACAGTCTAGTTTTACTTCCTTTGTTAAATATGGTCATTGTTTTCAAAGGACTCAATATCCAAGCTGCATTCCAGCTCCCCCATACTTCTCCCCCCCAAAAAAACAAAGAGCTTTAGGGAAATAAAATATTATCATAAGTTTTGTCACAGTGAAACCATGTAGTGGATCACCATAATTAAACCAGAAAATTACATTTTAATTTCTTATAAGAGTAAAGTTGTTTTAAATAAATGCAACACATGTCAGTTTTCTTTTCCAACATGAGCTTTGGTGTTACCGTCCATGGTGACACATACTGGCCATATGGGGTAACAACACCCCTGCAGAACACTCCAGTTTTATTTTATGGCTATTTCTTGGTTGGCAGATTTACGGATGTGGTTTTATTTGGCATATCCAACTCTTCAGCAATTAAGAGTTGTATTTTTGAAGACATGGCACCAAAATCTCTCTCTCACACACACACACAAAAGCAGTCAGGTTGGGATTGGGAAATGCTTCAGTTCATCCATCAGATACGGTAAACCGCACTCCATTTCTCTTTTGTGTTCATCTATACTCCACCATATGCGAAACTAGTCTGGATGGGTTTGGCTACTTTTTAGAAGCTCCTATTACATAATAGCATCTGTCCACAAACCAAGCAATCTCCAAATGCTTTAGTAAATCAGAGTTGAAGTCTTGATGCATGGAAATTTGTTTTGGAAAACAACACATTTAAATATCATTTAAAATGTAGATATTTGCGCATAGCCAAGGTCCATCGACTTCAAAAAAACTTTTAAAATCCCAAGTATATAATTAATAGTGATACAAGACATATTCTGAATTAATACTTATTTGAAATTTTTCAAATGATTTTTAAGAGACTATTGTCCCCTTTCTCTCATCACTGACAGATTGTCTCGTCGTGATAGCTCAATGGGAAACCTTGTCTCGAATAAAGTGTTTGTGATACACACTAGATAAAATTATTGAGGAGTATTCATTTTTCCAGAAAGCTACCCCCACCAAGAAATTCCTCCCAACAGGGCATCACTGCACCTGAAACTTTCAGAGAAAAGGGTCTTCACTAGGATTAAGCTTATTTCCTACCTAAATCAATTTCACCCAAATGAGGCATCTGTGTTGTAATTCATTGTTCCCCAGACTCCAAAACCAGCCATCTGCCATCAGAATTTCTGTACGGTCATTAAGGGGCTGTGCATCAGAACCGGCGAGCGCGCGAAGTGAGCCAAGCCGCCGAGCCGGGGGCGCGTTCCCCCGACCCCCGAGCGCAGCTCCGGCACCGCGCGCACCGGGGATGCACCGGCCGAGACCCAGCCGGGCCCCGAAGGCTCCCCGTACCTTGGAAGAGAAAGGCTCTCGTCCCGTTGTGCAGCCCCGGGACCTGGCGCACCCCGGCCGTGGACTCCCCGAGCTCCAACTCGGCCAGGACGTCGATCTGCAGGGAGGGGTCCACGCCGAGCCCCCAGACCGCTGCGGAGAGAAAGCCCCGTCAGAACGGAGCCCACGGCTCCGGGCGGCGGAGCGCCGCGCCTCGGCGTCCAGGCTGGGACCGGGGACCCCGGGCGAGCGCCCAGCCCCGCCGCCGCGCCCCTCGTAGGCCCCGGGCTGCGCCGAGCTCCCCGGACCCTCGGACGCCGGCCGCGGGCGCCGCCCTCCCGCCGCCCGGGACGCAGGCACCGCGGGCAGGTCCGGGCGCGCCCGCAGCCCGCTCACCTGCTCGGAGCCCGAGCAGCACGCAGAGCGCGCGCAGCACCACGCCGGGCTCCATGGCGCGGCGCGCTCAGTCCATCGCCTCCCGCCGGGAACACAAGGAGCCGGGCTCGGGACCCGGCGCACCGCGGCGCGCCGCCCGCCGCCGCCGCGGTTTACTCGGGGCACGTCAGCGCCGTCAGGCTGCCGGAGAACAAAAAGCGAGGAGCCCCCCGGCACGTGAGGAACTTGGCGCCCGGGAGGCGCGCATCCTCCCGCCCGCGGCCGGCGGAGGGCTGGCAGCGACGGCGCGCGCCGGGACGGGGCCGCGGAAGCCGGGCTGCAGCTGCCCGACCGCGTACTGCCCGCGCCCGCGCCTGGCGGCCCGAGAGACAATGAGGCGGTGCCCGAGCCGGCGGGAGACAGGCTCCCCGGAGGGGGCGGGGCGCGAGGATGGGGCGGGGCCCGGGGAGGGCGGGGCGCGAGGAGGGGGTGCCCGCAGCGTGGGCGAGGCTCCGTGGGGTGCGGCTTTGGGTGGGGTTCACTGGGGGCGGGGCATGTGAGGGTGGGGCTCCTAGGAGGGCGGGGCGCGAGTAGAAACGAACCCTGGCGAGGGCGGGGAGCGAAGGGAGGGCGGAGCTCCTCGGAGGCGGGGCCGGGAAGGGGGCGGGGCTCAGGTGATGAGCGGGGCCTTTAAAGGCGTGGCTCCAAGAAAGGGCGGAGCTCCTCGGAGGTGCGGCCGTGGAGGGCGGGGTTCGTGGTGGGCGGGCCCTTGGAAGGCGGGGCTCCTGGAGGGCGGGGCGCGAGGACCGGCTGCGGGGGCAGCGGGAGGTCCGAGTTCCAGTCGCTCCCGTTAGCTCCTCGGTGTCCCGGCGCGTCCCGCGAGCTCCACAGCAGCTGCGGCGGCGCCCGCGTCCCTCCGTCTCGCGCTGACACGGCACCGCCAGCCTCCTTGGGAACGGTGGGTGCAGCTCGCTTCGCTCAGCCGAGGCGGGCCCTCGCTCTCAGCCCGCGGTGCCGCGCGCGTCCAGGACTGGCGGACGGAGCGGACGCGCGAGCTAGCAGGCCCACTGGAGGCTTCCGCCCGGCGCCGGGGAGCCGCGGCCTAAGCTGCGGGGCGCTGTCCGCACCTCGCTCGCCGAGCCCGCGCTCCGCGCACCGCCGGCAGGGCGCCCCCGGAGGGACAGACCCAGGGATGAGACGGCGTGGACTGACCGGTCAGGTGCCTGGAGCCGAGTGACACGGATGAGACGGGTGCATAAGCTGGGGGTGTACACCAGGTAGTGGACTGGAGGGAGACGGTGATGGTGCATGAACAGAGCGGACAGGGTATGTTGACAGAGTAAACAGATGATAGACGAACAGATAAGATAAATTAGATTGAATAGGTGATAGATGCGGTTGATTAGATAGATAGGTGACACAGAGGGACAGAAGCTGAAAAAGATAGACACACCGGGCAACAGAGAGGAGTCTCCCGCTCTGACCACATGCAGCCTCGGCCCACCCCACACCCACGCAGGGACCCTGACCACGAGGTCATCGAAATCCAGTTGTCAGCAGGCAAGGTCAACGGCACATAATATTTTTCAACAGAGCCCTGCAATTTTGAGATAACTTTTGAATAATGATTACAATTCCCACTTTGAAAAAGAATTTCAAAAACGATTAAAATGTTAATCTGTGTAAAAAATCAGTGGTGTAACTTAAGAATCAGTAGTTTCTGGAATCTCCCAAGAAAGTTCTACACAGGTAGTTATCAAAATACCTACTGAGGCTCCAGAGAGCAGTATACCTACAGCATAATACTGTACTGTATTATACCATAAATGGTGTGAAGGGCACATAGTTAGCTCTGTCTCTGGAAGTTTTTAGGGAAAAAGATCAGAATCTGGGAGCTTTCCAAATTAATTTTTAATGATCTCTCCAAATCAAATTTTCCATTTAATTCTATTTGTAGTTTTGTAAACTTTGAGAAACATTCCAGTACTTATATGCAATGAAGTATTGTTCTATGAAATTTTCTAAATTTGCAAAATACACTAAATAAAATTAATATAATTGAATTAATTCAAAGGAAATTGTTTATCAGAAAATTAAAGATCTTTCTATAGTAGTACATCCAAAGTACTGAATTGCAGTAGGAATCTGTAAAAGTTACATAAAACAAATTTTACGTAAGTCTATTATTTAATATTCTATTGGGAGATAAAATGAGAGGGAAAAGTACATATACATATACACGTATTTACCTGCACAAGCCCTCACATACTTGTACTCAACCCAATCATAGAGTAGGGGTCCTCTTCCATCTCTCTGACTCTTGACTATGATGTGCTGGAAGCTGGTGGTAGGTAAGCCTGTCTCTGCTTCCCCACACATGCCTAGGATCCCTCCAGAAAAACAGCATTTTGAACCCAGAATTATTTCAATTAAACCTGTTACTGAAATTACATGACTTAATTCTCTTGATAGAAACCATTAAAATATGAGTAGAGAGATAGTTGTTTCTGTAAAATTAAAGTGTAAACATTGAAAAACTATAATAAAGGTGAGTCATTGTATTAGGACACAGGTTTTCCACCTGGGCAGTTCTGAACATTAGAGCTTTTGACATTTTAAGGTTGCATAGTTCTTTCTTGGGGCTGTCTTGTGCCATGCAAGATGATTAATAGCATTCCTGGACTCTACCCCTTAAATGCCAGTATTTTAATATTCCGTTTTATCCTGCAACTATATAATTTGTGTAACTTGAAATCAGTGTTCTAGAGAACACAATATACACACTTAACTTCTCGTCATTTACTCTAATCATATGGTACCACTTCAATCAGAGTATAGAAACTTTGTCACAGTATTGGTCCTTTCATCTTCTCATTTATGTTGTAGTTGTCTCATATATCAAATCAACACACAGTGAAACTCACTTAGCCAATGTTAGTATTTGTGAGGGGGGGGAGGATCATGTCATAATCCCTAGAATTTGTGAATGTTACCTAAGGTGGCAAAGGGGATATAAGGTTGCAAATGTAATTAAGATTGCTAATTAGATGACCTTAAAATAAGGAGATCATCCTGGGTCATCTGGATGAGGACAATATAATCACAAAAGTCCTTAAATGTGTAAGAGGGAGACAGAAGAGAAAGTCAGAGGAGTGTAAAACGAGAGAATTCATCCTGTTGCTACCTCTAAAGGTAGAAAGATACAGGACTACGAGCCAGCGGCACGGACACCTCAGGAAACTGGGCAGATTCTCCCCCACACCCTCTGGAAAGGAACACAGCCATGCTGATCCCTTGATGTTAGTCCAGGGAGATCTATTTTAGACTTCTGAACTACAGAACTGAAAGGTAATAAATTTGTGTTTAGTCCACTAAATGTGCGGTAATTTGTTTCAGCACCACAGCAAGCTAATATAAGTATGAACTACATAATGGAAAATGCAGTAAAAAAAAATTGGTAGGCTTTATTGACCCTGAGAGGATCCTCTTCTACCATAGATGCATCTCAAAGTAAATAAAATGCTTGAGAATCCGTTATTCATAGATGAGTTTTAAATTTAAAAAAAAGAAATAAATCCCCAGATGTTAGGAGGAAAAAAAAGGGAAGCTAGAGATTAGTGGGTGCAGGACTAGCTGAGGCCACGATTGTCACAGGGTGGGGCACAGGGGTTCAAAATCAATAGAGGCCCGAAGACAATGGGTATGGTTCTAATATCTACACAAAAATGGGAAACAATAATCATGGCCAAAGCCAGAAGAGGGGAAGATATTACTGATCTCTCTGAGGGAACAGGGAGCTTTGAAGGGTTAACACTGTTATAAAAAGAAACTTTAAACATTTTGCACATCAGCCTAAGTTACACAAAAAAAAATTCTTTCCAGCTGCACATGACCATAGGTGGAAAACAAAGGCATCTCTAATAAATGTCAAGTCTCAAGTTTCACCACTTGCAAGAAATGGTCCAAATGACACTCCCACTGGTATAGGAATTCTAAAACCAGTAAGTAAAATAAAAGCTCCCATCTCCTAAAGAATGAGTGCAAAACTTCTACTAAGGGACCTCCTACAACCTCTGAAATATAAGAGGAAATTTTCTGATCAGAATATCAGATCACAACAAAATAACAAAACAAGAACAATAGCAATGATAATAAATTGCATTTTATTATGCAAAATAAAATAACATGAAAGACAGGAGACACACACACACAGAAAAAAAGAATTTGAACCACATGAACTCAGAGTATCAGAAAAATGTGATAAAAATTATAGAATAAGTACACGTAAGTGATCAAAGAGTTTTTTAAAGAAGACAAATGATGAAAAAATAGAATTACATGTTAAAAGATTAGGCAGATTTCAAAAGAAACCAAGTAGAACTTCTAGCAATAAAATTTTTTTCATAAACAACATTGCAAAGCCATTGGCTATAAAAAGCAGTAGAAAAATAGAGCTGAAAGTTAGTGAAAAGCTGGGAACAAAAAATGAGATTTGAGGATATTGAGAATGTGGCAAGAATGATACAAAGATGGAAAATGTGAACAAAACATGAATGTGAGGATTAGGAGATCCGAAACACAACTACTTAGAGATGCAGAATAAGAGACTAGAGAGAATGGATGTAGGCAGTGTTACAGTACATATTTAAACAAATAAGAATGAAAAACTCAAAAATTAAAGAATGACATGAGATTCTAATTCTAGGTAAGATGGAATAAGCACACCCCACACCCTCTGTCCTACTGAATGTTATCAAACTTGGACAGATGCATGGAGTAATTAAGGATTCTGAAAATTAAACAGCAGCAGGAAAATTGAGAAAGATCAGAGTTTCAAGTAACACCATACTGGAAGTGAATACTTTTAGGAAATAGACCAGCACCTGAGAAACAGACTTCTGGGTGGTGCACACATGGAATAAACCTGAATATAATACAAAGTCTTTGAACAATCACAGCAAATGAAGGCTAGTCAAATCTTGGAATCTGTATCCAACTCAATGGCCAGCTTTATCAAAAAAAAAATCATTCTCCATAGGCTTTAACAAAATTCAGAGTCTCATAATATTCAAATGCTCAGAGTATAATCTGAAATTATTTAGCATAAGAAAAGCCAGAGAAATTTCAACTTACATGAGAAAAATACAATCAATAGACACCAATGCCAAGATGACACAGCTGCTGGAATTATCTGAAAAAGATATTTAAAGTCTTACAAAAATGCTCCCCACAAAGAGCAAACACTCTTGAAACAAATGAAAAGACAGAGTGGCAGCAAATTAACAGAAGATATAGAAAAGAACCAAGTGGAATTTTATAACAACTGAGATTTTTAAAAACTCATCAGAATGGGCTTAGTATCAGAATGGAAATGACAGAGGAAAGAGTTAGTGAGCCTAAAGATAGATCAATTAAAATTACCCAATCTTAACAATGAGGAATAAGTTGTTTATTTGTTTAGTGAATATATAACAGCAGGGACCTGTGGGATAAAATCGAAAGAACTTTAGAACTTTAATGTCATCAGAATTCCAAGAGAGTAGAAAGAGTTCAGTGCCCCCTTCCAAAGAAAGGTGTTTCAAGAAATAATAGCCTAAAACTTCTCTAATTTGGCAAAAGAAAAACTTACAGATTTAAGGAGCTCAATTAATCCCAAAAAGGATAAACTCAAAGGAATCCATGAGCAGCCATATAATAATCAAATTGCTCAATAGAAAAGGAAAACCCTCACAAGGAGAAAAGGCCTGAAAAGAACCAGAAAAAAATGACACATTATTTATAGGGAAGCATCAATTTGAATGAATGCAGATTTCTCATCAGAAACTGTGGAGTCCAGGAGAGGAACATATTTTTTGAAGTGCTGAAGGAATTCTGTCATCCCAAAATTCTGTATCTGGTAAAAATGTCCTTCAGGAATAAAGATGAAGAATAACATTCTGAGATGAAAACAATCTAAAAAACAGGTTGCCAGCAGAATACTCTAAAAGAATCACTATAGGAAGTTCTTCAGACAGAAGGGAAATGATAAAAAGACAAGAAGCATATAAGGAATGAAGTCAGCAATAGAAATGATAAATATCTGAGTAAACATAAGAGACTACTTTTCTCTTGAGTCCTATAAATACGTTTGATGGTTGTGTTAGTTTTATATTCCTTCTATAACAAATTACCACAAACTATTAGTGGGTTAAAATAATACAAATTTATGATCTGACACTTCTGTAGGTCATAGATCTGACAGTGGTCTCCTCAGCCTAAACTCTGTGTTGTCAAGGCTGTATTCCTTTCTGAAGGCTCTAGGGGAGAATCCATTTCCATGCTTTTTCCAAATTATAGTGTCTGCATTACTTAGCTTATTGCCCTCTTCTTTTATCTTCTAAGTCAGAAACAACAGGCTCAGTCCTTCTTACAGGGCACCCTCTCTGGTTCTGATTATAGTTTCAAAAGGTCTTGAGCTTTTAAGGACTTACATGATGACAGTGGGGCCACTGGATTATCTAGGGTAATTTCTCCACCTGAAGGCTCTTAACCTTAACCACATGTGCAAATTTCCTTTGCCGTGTGAGGTGACATATTCACAGGTTCTGGAGGTTGGGGTGTGAACATCTTTGAGGAGCCATTCTTCTGGCTACCAGAATGATTGAAATAAAATATTTTTAAATTGTCTAAAGGGGATTCAACATATGTAAATTTACTAAATAAGACAACCACAATATAAAGATATGAGGATAAGTGGACCAATATGATAATAAACGTTCTATATTGCAAATGAAGTTGATAACATATGTACTCTAAGTAGATAGTGAAAATCTCTAAACCACTAATTTAAAGAGCTATTATGCAAAGGGATACAACTGATAAATAAAATGGAATCTTTTTAAATATTAAAATTAATTGAAAGAAGGCAGGAAAGTCTTAAGAGAGGGACAGAAAACAAAAGGGACAAAGAGAAAGAATGAAATGGCAGACTAAAATGCAAATGTATCAATAATTTCATTAAATGTAAATGGCTTAAACCCAACAATTAAAAAACAAGATTGTCAAAAGGAACTTGCAAAATCTAATCCCTCTACATGCTGTTAAAAGAAACTCATTTTGATTATAATGTGGTAAATTTAAGGTAAAAGGATTAAGAAAAAAATATACTATCCAAACATGAATCAAAAAAATGTTGTAGTGATTATATTACAGAAATCTGATATAATTACAGATCATATCAGAAAAAGTAAACTTTAGAGAAAAAAAATTACCAGGGATAAAGACTCATACATAATAATAAAATGGTTGATTCACAAAGAAAACATAGCGATCGTACATGTGTATGCATCTAATAGCAAAGCTTGAAAATACATGAAACATTTCCTCTGAAGAAATGGTGACAGATCCAAAGCAAGAAATAGATACAAATCCACAATTACATATAGAAACATCCTGTGTTCATAATTTCATAATTCCTACATCTCATAATCAGTGGGAATTTCCAGTCCCAGATAGTTTCAATGACAAATTTCACCAAATGTTTATAAAAGAAAGAACAGCAATTACATACAAGTCTCCCAGGACAAAGAAGAGGAGGGGATACTTCCCAACTATCTTTATGAGACCACCATTACTCATACCAAAACTCATTCCAGACAAAGATAATACATCACAAAAAATAAACCTAGAACCTGGAAGATACCTAATATACCTTTTGAACATGGATGTGAAATATTTGAACATATATGCACAATCCTCAACAAAATATTAGTAAATCAAATCTGATAATATATAAAAAGGCAAACTACAATGAAGTGCGGTTTATCCCAGGAATAAAAGGTTGATTCAATATTTTAAGTCAATCAATGTAATCCATCGCAGTTATAATCTACAGAAGATAAATCACATGATCATATTGATTGCTGCAAGAAAAGCATTTGATATAAGTCAATAACTCTATAATAAAATAAATAACTCACTGCAAAGTGAAAATAGAAGGGAATGTCCTCAATCTAATAAAGGACATTTAAAAAAGAATGTATATTAACAAGGCAATGTTGTATTGGAGTTTCTAATTGATGCAATGAACCAAGAAAAAGAAATAAAAGCCTTTCAATGTGTAAAAGAAGAAATAATTTTCCCTAGATGATTTGATTATCTACATTTATAAATTCCCAAAGCATCTTTGATAAAGCTCCTGGAAATAGTTTAGCAATGCCACAGAATAAAAGGTCAACATACAGAAATCAATTGTATTTCTATATGCCAGCAAAGAATAACTGAAAATATAAATAAAAAACAATACCATTTATAATGGCATTAAAAAACATAAAATACTTAGAGAAATTTAACTAAATATAGACAAGTGACCAAGGCCCCTAAATGCACTACTAGCTGGTGGCCTGGCTGGTTAAAATATGCAGATATAAATATGTTCTCAGCACAGGATTGACTGCCTGGCTTCTCAGATGTTATCAGTCTCCACAAGCCACGAGTCGTTGGTTTAAAAGCTTACCCCACCCTGCAGCCCTTATTTTTCGCTGCCAGTAGGCGCACAGAATCAACATCGGCCGCTCTTGCCAATAAAGACGCGAAGTGCTCATCTGAGTAGAATAAAGCATCCACGTGGGCCCAGCCAGGCTGCTGGCTTCCGGCCTTGCTTAAGATTTTCTATTAAAGGACAGGGTTTAATGCCTAGCATTAAGAGACAAAGTAACTCTCCCCAGAAGGGCTGAAGGCCAGAATGTTCTTAGTGATATCCAGAAACCAGCTTTACTTACATCAGATTTCTCCCTCCATCCTGTAACTCTAACTCCAGAAATGGTAAATAGAGACATCATTAAAAATTCCATTTTCAAAGGAAGATTTTTATTTGATTCTGCTTCTGTTTTCATCAAAAATGTTTCTTTTTCTAAGGCTATACATAGCCCACACCTAAAGGGAATTTATTAAGTTCAGGCCTCAAGACACAATCACTCAATATCTTTCCTGACTCCTCATATAATTCTTGCTAGGGCTTAGCTACTGATATTAGAATATTGTTTTTGATGTACATGTGGTTGCTAGACAGAAAGTGCCAAGCAGGTTTCCAAATGCATGGAATCAGAACAAGAACAAGCTTATGTTAGTATCTTAGGAGACTGGCAGGGACCCAGTTCTGCGTGAGCTCAGCCTGAGTGTCTATTCACACTATCATCAAAGCCTCTGACAGGAAGAGATGCCTCAAGAATTCTGTCACCCTGCCAAGACCGCCCCCGCCCCCCAGCTTCACTGTCCTGGCCGAAGGCTGGAGCTGAGACTGCAAATGGAGAGAGGCTGGGTGGGTGGGCAAGCAAGTGTGACAGGGTCAGGGGTCAGACCATCCCAGAGCACCCTGCACTCTCCTAGTGTGGGCTGACTGCACTGGCACAGCACTGGGTAAGGGGCCTGAGGGGGAGGCTGGCATTGCTCACGATCACAGAGTAGGGGAGCTGGAGAAGGTCTCACTTTGCAAACCAAAGCCCACACGAGTCAAGTGACTTGTTCAAAATCACACAACCGATTAATTTCAGAGCTATTACAGAAGCTTCATTCTCTTATTATTCATTTACTCAACAGATATTTTTTGAGTCACATGTTGAGTACGAGGCTCTGAGCCTCAGATCAGCAAATCTCAGCTAGGGTCCAGGCGCACTTCGGCCAAAGGGCCCTTATGTAGAGTCACAGGATAATCTAAAAATGTAACTACTGCCTATAAATCTTCCAAGAAAATGATGCACCTTCCCCCAGCCATGAACTTTCATGAACAGCTACAGGAAAGGTCACAGAGGCCCCGCCTGTGCCTCTCCCAGCAAACCTCTCCCCTCACCACCTCGCACTTCCTGGGCGCTCTTTGGATCATGCACGCATGCTCTTGCCTCAGGAATTTTCGTCTCTGGCCTTCCCTGCCTGGAGTGCTCTCCCACCCGGCTGCCTTAGCTCCTTCAAATGCCACCTTCTCAATGAGGCTTCCAAACGACCCAGTTCAAAATTTGCACACATGCCCCCACCCAACCCACCTACTTACCTTGCACCTCCTCTCCCCCTTCCTTACTTAATTTCACTTACTTATAATTATTATATATTTGCTTATTTATGACAACATCCCTCACCCTAGGATATAAACCCCATTGTTCATGGTTTTATTTACGGCTTTATTCTTAGTGCCCACAACAGTGCCTGGCACACTGTGGGTGTCAGTAAATACTTGTTGAATACAAGACTATAAAATATAAAAACACACCTAATGTGTGCCTATCATGTGGTAAGCAGTAGGTAAGTGGTAGCTTTTATTATTTAGAATTTGCTAGAGTGAAAGTCCATGAGCCACTGATGAAGAAGGCATAACCGTCCAGGGCACCTCACACAGAACATGCATGCAGTTGCTAAGATGGAGCGAAAGCCTGACTCTCTTATCTCGGGATCACGGCTCCACATTCAAAATGGTTTCAGCAAATGATTTTTCATGGAGATCTAATTTCCTTAGCAAAACCTCCAATGAAAAATGTGCAGCGGTATTGTAACAACTTTTCTGGCAGCAGAGAAGAAATTGGCTGCTTATCTCTGCCTGTTACCTATCGGGGTACTTCAGGTCGTCACCTCACACAAGGATGTGCCCCCGAATGCCTCTGACTGAGGGTGAAGCACAGATGTAGCCTCGTTTCCTAACTTCCCTTCCTCTTCCCACAGTGCACGGCATCGGTATGACTTGACACCTATTTCACCAACATTACAGGTATATTTCCCAGCTTTTTGCTTTTCTACTCCCTTTACCCACACATCAAATTACTTCTTTCCTTTGGCCTGACTGTAAAAGCCTCCTGCATGGTCTGTGGTTGATGTTGTTTTAATTGACAGACTCTGGTGTGTGAAAATGTAACTTTACCTTTTATACCTCACATTCAATTTAAGAACTGATTCTTTCCTGGTGAAAGAAGAGTGACTATTGCTATTGAGGACTTACTGTGCTTCAGACTTTGTCCTAAGAGAATTAACTCACTAATTCTCATACTAGTCCTGCAAGGCGGCCATGGTAGATGCGGAAAGTGAGGCAGAGGTTAAGTGTCTTCACCAGGGTCGTAGAGCTGATAGTGGTAGAGCTGGGACTCACACAGGTTGGCTGTCTTAGCCACTCAACTACAGCTCTTTTCAAGGTTGCTAGAAAACTTAATCTAGCAAGTTCCAGGATGACTTCATCACTTCTTCTTTTTCTGGGTCATTTCCAGTTTAAGCTCAGTTCTAAATGCCCGCTCTCCATCCCACCCCCCAGGATGCACACACTCCCCAGGGGGAAGGCATCTTCTCCACTATCCCCCTTCCAGATTTGGGCATGCAGCGGATCCCAAACTCCCCTCCGCTTTGCTCCTCGTTTGCCACCTTCTGAGGGTCTCCTCACCTGGAGGACTCGCCCTGGTTCCCTCTGCCCTGCTGCCGTGATCACAACTCTTTGAGTTTGATGCATCTGCCAGATATCCAAGTCAGCGTCACACAGACTGGAACCAAGCAGAGAGGGCTGGCTGGCCCAGAGATGGCAGCTGGCGCCATGGAGCAGATCTTGCTAACATTCTCTGTGCTCCAGCCCCCGGCAGATCTATCTGCGACATGCCTCTGCAGAGAGGTTGTGTTTGTGAGGCACCCTTGCAGGACGTCCCAGTAAAGGGCCCTCTGCTCTCAGTTCAGCCACTGCCGTGCAGGAGCCCAAATTCATCAGGACCATGTCTCTCAGGAACCAGTCTTTTATATTTTATTATGCTATTGAATATTGCTGAATTTTAATTACTAAAAGTAGTTATGTGGTACTGTTCTCTTCAAAAAATTTATTTTTATTTCCGCAACAGATTTTTTTTCCTCCTGTGGGTCAGGATTCTGTACAGAAAATGCTTTTCTACCAATCACTAGATCGAAGCTCTGTAAGATAAGAGCTTGTGTCTTTCATGACTGCACATCTGGGGCCAAGCAGAACGCCCGGCAGCAAGTTCAGGACTCAATGCGTATTTGAATAAGTTGAACTGAGATTTCCTCTCCCTTTTCTTATTGGGGTGCTGAGAATGTGGTCCACACCCTGCCTTGAGACAAACTCAGAACAATATACTTTACTAATTATTTAGGTATATTTTTAACATATTGGCAGAGAACACTGTAATTAATGTCTGGAGACTTGTTTTCAATGTCTCAGAAATGGAATGAGCCATCCCACCAGCATGTTCAGGACGCTGCAGCATCCTTCCTAAGCCCTGGTGATGGTCCCACACTGGGCAAGGCACCTGCTAACCAGCAAGGCTGCCACCCAGCCGAGAAAACACGGGTATGGTCGGCAGCGGGTCTCTTCTTTGTCCGAAGAGGGGAGCACCTGAAATAAGGAATAAATACGTGACTGTCATCCATGCAGGTGCAAGAGTGAGCCGTTTAGTGGAATGGTGAGAGCAGAGGGAAAAGCACCACCAGAGTGACAGATGGCATTCCAAGTATCCGCTGCCGACTCCGCCGCCTGTCCGTCACCACCACCTCGCCGCCTCCTCGTCACAGCCTTCACAACACCGAGCACGACACGCCTGCCTGCTTTCAGGCACTGTGCTGAAAATTTTCCACAGATTACTTCATGTAATCATTCGAGAGCCCTTCAAGATAAATACCATTATTATCCTTGAACTATGACAGATGAAACCAGGCCATAGAGAAATTTAGTTATCTACCTGAGGTCAATGCTAAGGGGCACAACTTGGCTTCCAGTCTTCACAGGCTGCTTCCAAAACCCAGCCTCTTCATCAGCTCTTTCTACTGGACCTCCCTGAGCCTCAGTTTTCTCATCAGTTTTCTCTATCAGGGATTAAACAAAATACACCAAGTCCTTTATGGCTCCAAAAGTCTATTCTTCTAAATAAATATAACCAAGTTAACCTTTCATGTATTTAGTAATATACATAATCATATAATCACGATAGGCTGGTGATAATGTCACATGAAAGGTCAGCTTTCACCTAATTGACAATTATTAACATCATGGTAACACAGTTAAATCAAGCATTCCCAGGATCTGCTGGGTCCTCTGTACTGATCAGAGAGGGCAGAAGGCCACACACCAGGAGTGACTGCGGACAGGGCACCTGTCCTGCACCCTAAGCCCAGTGGGCCACAGGATTGAAGGTTGTGCGCCCGTCCCAAAGATGTAAGCAAGCGTGACAACTGGGGTCCCCAGAGCTCCTAACAGGGAATGTCTATGTAGTACCCTAAATAATGAGCATAACAGCTACCATCGAACCTTCAAAGGCTTCTTCCTGCCTTTAGGACCACGTCCACACCCTAAACCTGCCTACGGAAGTGTTTCTCAAATTGTGGTGATAGACTTTTTTTCCAGTTTTATTGAGGTGGCAGAATAATTTTTAATCTCTAATCCATTGTAAACCATGAGATTAGAGGTTTAAATTTTTATGTTTCTAAAGTATAGTAAAACAAACTCCTAGCATAGTAAATTTTAAAAGACATACAATCTCAACAGACCTAAAATTACATTTCAATAAATCTAATCAGAACACACAGAACAGGGAAAAATTACAGAAGCTATATACATTGTTTATTGAAAGTGTGCAGGCAGCAGATTAAAATGGAGAACTGCTGATTACAGTCATAACTTTTGTCATTCATGATCATAAACAACAAAAAGTCATAAAGGAAACAGCAGTTCCCTCTATTAAATTGTTTTACTCATACTTTGAATAAATATTGCAAGTATCAGTAGTTGAGCCTATTTTCTGCTTGTTAACTTATCTAAGCTGGATGACAATGAATCCACTGTCTGTGGAAAACACACATCTATGTTTTGTTTTATGAACACTCAGAAAAACCAGTCTCACCAAGGTAATTTGACAGAAATGGGAGAAAATGAATTACAGTAAACTCAGGAGGTTGTTTTTAATTTTTATCTAGAGTGAGGCAAGTAATGTTATATTTTCAAAAAATCCATCTTTAATCAAAAATTAATCATGTAAAGTCATGGTTAAATTTATATTATCATTCAAAAATTGGAAGGAATGCTGAGGGGAGGGTGAAGAGGTAAAGGGACACAAAAATTCTCTATCATTATTTGAGTTGGTCACGGGGACAGCAGTGCAGCGTGGAGAACACAGCCAATGGTTCTGTGACATCTTCCTGTGTTGACAGATAGTGACACACAAGTGGGGGTGAGGATTTAATAATGTGGGTAACTGGCGAACCACTGTATTGTATACTTGAAATCAATATAAGATTGTATAGCAACTATACTTCAATGAATAAATAAATAAAAGGGATGCTGGGTCCACCCCTGTTTTCCATGCATGCTTCTTCTTTTGATACAAAGTAAAATCCCAAGTATTCCATCAAATCTGTAAGGCACCCAGATGTGCAATGCCAGGGCCAATTATCCCACCAATATTTGTTGTTAAATTATGGAGTATGTCATAACAGTCTAGAAACTGTTCTGCCAAGCTTCTCTCAATTTTATCTTTCAGTTTTTATCTATTATTGAAATTTATTTTCCACGGATGTACGCAGATTACTGAAAATATCAAGATCTCAGATATGTAAACAAATCCATGCGGTCCAATTCACAACTTGAACATGTTTGGATAAACCAATTTCTCATCTTGCAGAAAGACTTTCTTACGTGGTTGAAACATTGTCACCAGAACGTATTCCCTCTCTAATCCTCATAGCTCAGCACGCAAGAGCAGTTGGTTATGGTCAGCTCTCATGGCATTGGCATCATCACATAATAAAGAATGATGGAGTAGAATTCAACGCATTCACCTTAGCAGGTTCACAACTTCTACTGTGTCCCTAAGCATGCAGTCTATTTCAGCTGACATTTTTCTCATAAGACTTTCTCAATGAAGTAGTCTAGTTAAATCACAGATTTCTTAATCTGAGTGTGTGTTCCAGATGCTTTTCTATGACTGCACAGGCACCATAAGGGGGCACTTCTACATGAACCGTAAGCTGCAAACCACAGAGCACGTGTGACACCGACCACATGCTCAGGTATCAAGGTAATACCACAATGCAGCAGGAGTTTCTAAACATTCGTTATTTATCTCATGTAGACCCATTACAAAAGCTTAAAACTGTACCAAATGTTGAGTAACCTCAGCCTGCAAGACTCTGCATAACTCACCCCTGGCTCGGCTCTCCAGTCTCGTCTCATTCCACCTTCCCCCTCAGCGTCTACGCTCTGGCCATAAACACCCCCATTCCCTCCTACTTCACCACCTAACACCCCAGGAGAACTTGCTCTCTTCATGATTGCTTAGCATCTCTGTGCCCTTCTAACACGGAACCACCACAGACAGAGACTCTCTCTCTCTTCCACCACCAAATCTCAAATGCCAGGAGCATTGAGGTACTCACTGAACAGACCATCCTTACAGCAGGTTACAGAGAACAGCCACCAAAATGTCTCCTAGCATTAGGAAAAAATATAAAATAACATTTTCAGACTCAGCGAGTAGCAAAAGTGAAAAATGACCCTCACGTTGACAGGATGACTGCCTCCTTGTAATACAAAGGGGAAGGGGAAAAATGGGATGGGGGGGATGGCAGGAACAGAGGAAGAGGCCCAGGTGGGGTCACCTGATGGGCGCAGCTCGGTTCGCTTAAGGCCATTTGCTTGGTCCGGAGGAGCCTTTCATCTCCCTTTGCACCCCAGCTTCAGCCCTACATTCATGCAACAGGTCCCCCGTGGTGATCCCTCCCCACCCACGTGCATGTGCGCACACACACGTGCACACAGACATGCTCACACACACTCACACACACGCAGAGGGGCTTGGATGCTCCCCTCTCCGTCCTGTATTCTTCAGACCACAGCACCCAGCAACCCCTCTGCCACAACGCCCATCATACCATCTTTGCAAAGCGGTTTATGTGGCTGTCTTCCGTCTACCCAGAGTGTATCTTCCTGAGGGCAGGCATTCCTGCTTACCCTGAGGTTCCAGCTCATAGTTTAGGGCCTGACCCAGGAAAGATTTCCATATATGTTTGCTGAAATAACAAATGAAGAGGTTTCCATCATTTTTCTGCCCATCACAAGCCACTAGGGTGGGGGGAGGGGTGGGAAGAGGGGCAGGGAAGGGAAAGCAAGGAGGACCAGGTGTGGGGACCGGACAATGGGAGTTCGGGGTTCCTTTAAGTGCCATCTGGCCTAAGTCAATGAGGGCAGATAGGTGGGAAAAAGATTGGTAAGAAAAAGGAGGCCCAAAGGGCCACAGCTATTACAAAAAATGCTTTAACAGTCCTTAAAATCTTCTCTTTTTCTCTTTACTTTGTACCTTTGTTCTTTTGCTCATTCATTAGTTTTTTCCAAAAATAATTTATTGAGAATCAATTTCATAGAAGGCATTGTGCTAGGTTCTGGTAATATGGAGATGAGAACTGAGCTGGTAAGCAAGCAATCATGAGATAGTATGATAAGAGCATAATAGAGATTTGCATAGATGAGATAAGAAGAGCGTCTAAACCATCATTTGCCATGTGGGTCCTTTTGGCTTCGTGGAAGAAATGAACCCACAATGTATCAGTCTATCCCTGAGAACCCACAATGTAACCTGGGAGGATAAAATGTTCTGCGACTTAGAATTTCTTTTCACAGTTCTCAGTGTTCAAACTTAAGGTTTTGTTTTTAATTAGGTTTCAGAACAACAAAAATTTAAAAGACTTTTCTAATTTAAGATACCTTCTAAACCTGGCCAGAAAGGCCAATGATTTTTCACATTCTTTGGGTCATTTTTAATTTCTACTCTTTGAACGGCATGGTTCCCAAGGAGGGTGCCATCTAGGCACAGAGACACATATGCACACACATGAAAACAATTGGCCAAAGCGAAGTGTAATGAAGATGAAATTACAAAATGTATGAGAGCAAAATTACTCAAAGTACTAGAGGAACACAGATGACAAAGGTAATAGGTCACTAAGGTGGACAGCTCCTGTGCTTCTGGACTTCATCTTGAAGACAAAAGGAAACCAATGTTTTTAAGCACAAAAGTGACTAAATCAGGGGAGAACTTTAAAATGTCCTCTGTTCTTTTGTGCAAGTAAATACTAAATCTATTATTGACATGTTTTCATAAAAAGGCCCATGTACACCGTCTGGTGAAATCAGAATGTTAAAAAGAACTGTGAATCGTCTCAAATTTGACAGATGACTATGAGTAATAATCAGCTACCGAGGTTGGCTGAGTATCTGTCAGATCACAGAACACAATGCAGAAACTGATCTTGACGTTCTTGGAAACAATAGAAAAACCATGATGGTTCACACTTACAAAATAAGATGATAGAAGAGTGTTCCCCAGTGTTAAAACTCAGCATCTGCAAAATCTAGGCAAATGAACATGGCCAGGAGCCCTCAAAACAAATCTGTCAAATGTCTAGGACTCTTTCAGATCACTAGCTTTTAAAGACAGCAAATTAAAAGACTAAATGTCATTTTAGAAAAACTGTATTTTATTTCATTGCATTAAACATCTCAAATATGGGAAAAATGGGAAAAAGCCAAATTAGACACTGTGATAGAAATAATGCTGTATATTTATCAAACCCCATTTTCTTTTATTCTAAAGGCACAGCAGGACTTCATTTCCCAAACTCCCTTGTTCAGGAAAAGCTCAGGACTAAGTTGTGGCCAACAGAACATGAGAAGAGGTGATTTTCAACACTCCCAAGTTTAGCCCCTGACACCCCCATGTCCTCCTTCTTTGCATGCTGGCCAGATGCAAAAATACCCACAGAAGGCTCGGACGCCCTTGGAGATTTAAACAACAAAACACAGTGAAAGCCACATGATGAAAGGAAATCAGACCTCTGAATGCCTCTGTGGAGGAAGGACCCTCCTTCTGATTCTCAGAGATCCTCACCGGTTTATGGTGGAAAGCCAGCAGTGAAAGCGGAGATGTGGGATCATTACAGTCGTTAGCACATCCTGACTGATGTAGACCCCCAAAGCTGTATTCATGTTAAAAAATCAGAAGAGCTATACAGTACACTCTAAGCCTCCTCAAAGTACTTCCAAGTGCTTTCAGAGCTGTAATTACACCAAAATATTATGTTACATATATAATCAAATTTACAGTATACTGAAGAGTAGAGTTGGAGAGAATGATTTAAAGGCAGGGACAGAAACACTAGTCATTGCATTTTGAAATAAGGTGACCTGATATGATAATCCGTGAGGGATTCGGGTATCCAATGACACTTCCCCAGTGGGAATTGTCCAGGGAAGGCCAGACAGCTTCAGGCGGAAACAGAAGCACCCTGAACACTCAATGACTACAGCAAACTTCCTCCACCTCTATGTGCTAAGACAAAAAAGCTCTATTTCAAAGAGTTTTGATGATGTAGATTTTTCTTGTACTTTCATATAAGTTTAGTTTTATATTTTTCCTAGAATATTCTTTATTCCTTTTTCCTAATATATTCATAGGCTAGCATTTTTTTCACTACTTTTAATGTATTTTTCATATTTTGACATGTACCCATTTTATGTGATGCTTTCTATACTTCTAAATTTTTCTGTTTGATACTTCTTACTGTTCTAAGTGAGTATAAGGTCTATGACTATTTGAAATCTTATCTGAGATGACTTGAATTTCCAAATACATTTCTTCGGTAAGATATGCTTTCTTTCAGTAGTAGAGGTCTCTAAGGTGTGCTCAGTGAGACCAAGATGGCCAAGCAAAATGGAGGGATCAGAAAAGGGTAAGAAACCAGTGAATATAAATTCCTTCTTTAATACCTGATCATCTGAGCACTGACAGATCCTTAAGGTCTCTTTCCAATCCATTTTTAAGATAAATGGAATTACTGCATAGCCTCCTCTGGTCCATATCATGAGAATACCTGCAATCTCCAAGTGGGTCACACATTGCCTGACTAGCTCTCGCAGCTCCGGGGGGGGGCGCGGGGGGGGGCCTGGGTCAGAAGCCTCACAAATAGATATCCTTTTGCTGTGATCATACTTCTATTCATTTAACAAATGTCGAAGGAAGGTCTGCTATGCACCAGACACCAGTGATAGTGAACAAACAAAAGACAGAAAGGCTACCCTCTCAGAGGCCTATTTCAAGGGGGGAGAGGGAGACAGATCACAAACTAAATGAATTACAATTAATTACACAGTATGTCAGACAGCAAAATCGCTATGGAAATAAGAAAATGGGA